CCCCCCCCCCCCAGCAGACCGGGCTCCCTCCGGGGCGCAATCCCCCACGCCTCTCCGTTCCTCTTACCAGGCCAGTGGCACAGGGTAGGAAGAGAGCTCTTTGCATTGAGATGATGACACAGTTGCTTCCTGGCACTTCTCACGTTTTCTCCTTCGGCACTGGGCAGTAGGGGCGTCCACAGGCGAATCCGGGACTCCAGGCGCTCGGATCTTGTGGCGGATCGTGGCTGGCAAGGCGGGGAGGGGAGGCCCGGAACCCCTAACCCCGCCGTTTTTCTGCGTGCCACAGGTCTGCTGCATCGGGGACCTGAGGGGTGAGCCGCGTGGGAGATGAGGCGGCGGAGGGAGGGCTCGGGGAGGTTGCGTCCGGAGCGCGCGCTCTTGAGGCTGTGGCACTGCCCAGCTCCGGGGACGGCGCCGGACCGAGCCGGACAAATGGCAAGCCAGGTTTTGGCATCGCCCTGCGGGCGGGTACGAGGACTAGACGTCCCCACAACTTGCGCTGAGCACCTCGCAGGAGCGCTTAGCTGCCGGGCTGCAGAGCCGCCTCCCTCTCCCCAGGCTCCCTCGCCGCCTTCCCTCCTCGTGGTGACTTGGGCGGCGGGCACGGCACCTTTGGCAGATGCCAAGCCCGGCTGCCCCCTTCTCCGAAGCAGCCCCGGGCTTGATTAAGCTCGCGCGAATCTCAGCTCCAGTCGGCTGCGCCTCCAATCACGAGCCCTTGACCTGGGCGGGGGACCCTGGTCTGGACTTTACCTGGCATGGGGCGCCACGGCCCGAAAGGAGGACCGCTGTTCTCCACTTCTTTCTGGAAAAACTCCCTCACCATTCACCGCCAGCTCGTCGCGCCTTCCGCAAGAGCTGCAGAATAGGGGCGGGGAGCGGGGGGCAGGGGGTTGGGGATTGAGGAAGCTGTTTTGTGAAGCATCCCTTGAATACTTGCCTCTCTGGGGCACCTGTTCTGTCCGGAATGGTGGCCGCGCTGCCAGGGTGGGAGGCGGGTCCTGAGTCCCGGTGCAAACACAGTCGCTGCGGCTGCTGGCCCAGGGAGAACAGCTGCTTTAAAGCCCAGACCAACCCACAGGTGGCCTATCAGGAACACGGACGTCCATGATGTCACCCAGAAGGGAAGTGGGGTGTGTGTGTGTGTGTGTGTGTGTGTGTGTGTGTGTGTGTGTGTGTGGCACTGGGCTTCACATCCAAGTCCCCTGTGGCCATGGCAACAGTTCTCAGAGGTCCGCCGGCTGGCAGCTAGCTGCCTTTTCTCTTTCCTGCTGCATGGTCGGGCCGGGATCTCGAGTTCCTCTGGGGGAGAAGATAGATAGAAGGGGCGGCACTAGAGCTAGTCCCGGGCCCTCATCCCTGTGCGTGAGCTGCACGGGTGGGGAGGGGGGTGTGCCCGGCCCCAGGGAGACCTCCACAGGGCGAGCACGCAGGAACCTTTACTCCCACAGGGACATTTCTTGCCGTTCCCCTTCTCTGCCCATCACACGGCAGGAGAGAGAAAATTTAAACCTGTTACTTGACATCCTATACAAAAATTTCCTCAAAATGGACCAGAGACCTAAATGCAAGCGCGAAAGCTACAAACCTCTTAAAAGAAAACATAGGCGTAAATATTTGTGAAACTGAGTTAGGCAAAGGTTTCTACACTAGGACACAAAGGACAAACGGCCCAAGAAAAAAATAGATAAATTGGACTTAATTAAAAATTTTAAAATTTTGTGTTTCAAAGGACACTTACCAAGAAAATGAAAATAAACAAACAAAACATAACCAAAAAAAAAAAACCACTCACAGGATGGGAGAAAATATTTGCAAGTAAAGACTTAGAATCCTTAAAAGAACTTTTAGAACTCAATAATAAAAAGAACCAAATTTAAAAATGCGTAGAGGATTTGATTATACAGTTTTCCAAAGAAGGCATCCAAGTAGCCAGCAAGCATATGAAAAGCCGTTCAACCTCATTAAGACATCAGCGAAGTATAAATCAAAGCCACGAGGAGATAGACCCACTAGGATGGCTATGATTTTAAAAGTGCCCTATAACAACTGTGGGTAAGAATATGGAGAAAGTGGAACCCGCACACATTGCTTGTAGGAAAGTAAAAATGGTGCAGCTGTTTTGGAAAACAGTTTGGCCGTTCCTCAAAATGTTAACTAGAGCTACCACATGGCCCAATAATTTCATGCTTAGGTATATACCCAAGATCATTGAAACCATAGGTTCACACAAAAAACTTGTACACAAATGTTCATGGCAGTGTTGTTCATAACAGCCAAAAAATGGAAACCACCCAACAGTCCATCAACTGATAAACATATAAACAAATGTGGGATATCCATATAATGGAATATTATTCAGCCATTAAAAGGACTGAAGTATTCATACATGCTATAACAATGGGTAGACCTCGAAAACATTGCCCTGAGTGAAATAAGCCATTTGCAAAAGGCCACATACTGTATGATTCCATTTATATGAAATTATTTTCAGGACAGGCAAATTTATAGAGACAAAAGAGCAGATTAGTGGTTGCCAGGGACTAAGGTGAGGACAAAATAGGAAGTGTTTTGGGTGCAGGGTTTCTTTTTGGTGTGATGAAAATGTTCTGGAATTAGATAGTGGTGATGGTTGCACCACCTTGTGAATGTACTAAAAACCATCTGCACAAGGTTGATTGATGATAGACATTGATGTTTGACCTTGGGGAGCCTTTCAATGTCTGTGTCACAGGTTCTCTTTACTCAAATGGAGATGGCGACCCTTGTTTTTCTACCTGCTAGGGTTTTGGCGAGTGAGCCTCAAATATACTCACACACAAGAGAGCACTTTGAAAACAATCAATTCTGCTTAATGCTGATACTATTGTTGTCACACAAAATGAAATGTCAAAAACATAATGGGCTAAGAACAGCTCAACCTGAGGTTGACAACTAGAGCCCACACTAACTTTGAATTAGGTTATAGATAAAGAGAAGATACTCAATTTCCCCTTCGTGTGTCCCCAGGGTGTTCTAAGCAGCGCAGATAAAGGTGGCTTGCCCGGGGAGGTGGGTGAGATGGTCCTGGACGTAAAGGTGAGCATTAATCACTCCTTTGGCGGCTTACTTGACTGTCCATCACAGGGGCCTTTTTGTGGAAAATGGCAGAGGTAGCCATCGAAGGCAGCTTGTAGAGGTGATCAGTTAGTTTGTCACTGAGGCAAATCATTTAAGAGAGACTACTGATGGGTTCTTGGCATTCCCGGGACAGGAAGACCTGCCAGGAAGACGTCTCTGAACAGCTCCTCTTGTTCTGCCCATGGGAAGGAAATTGATGAGTTAATTCATGTGCTCAGGAGATGCAGCCCTGGCGGACCGACTGCTTGTGATCCTCAGTGTGATTACTAGAATGATCTCAGCATTTCAGCTGTCTGGGGAAAAACCAGATGAGGCAAGTCTCAATAAAAATCACTGTTTTCTTATCATCAGGTAGAAATCTTGTGAAGGTCTCCAAGGACCTTGGTTTTATGGAATCGTGTTCCACACGCCCTGCAGCCTTGGCTGGAATCTCATTCTAAAATAACATTTCCTCTTGCTAAAAAATGTCTTGTTGCTCCGGGCTCTGGGGCACCATTACTTTCATGAGTTTCTGAGTCTAGGAGACCCAGGGGTGAAGTGCAAGTTTGCAATTTATGTCAAATTCTCTCTCTCTCTCTCTCTCTCTCTCTCTCTCTCTCTCTCTCTCTTAGTTCACCTACAAGATGAAGTGGGGACTTTTGCTGTCTTATACATTCTATGGGTTTTGACAAATGTATAATGACATCAATTTATCATTATAGTATCGTAAAGAATAGTTTCACTATGCCCCCAACATCCTCTATGCTCAGCCTATTCATCTCTCCCTCCCCACAACACCTGGCAAAGGCTCTTCTTTTTACATACAATGTGTAGACTTTTCTGATTGGCTTCTTTTGCTTAGTAATATGCTGAGTAATATTCAATTATCTGGATGGACCACGGCTTAATTATCCATTCACTTACTGAAGGACATCTTGGTCGCTTCCAAGTTTTGGCAATTAGGAATAAAGCTGCTATAAACATCTGTGTGCAGGTTTTTTCTGCAGATATGTTTTCAGTTCATTTGGGTAAATGAAGGTATTCTATACCTTGATTTATATTTTTACTTAAAATGCACCTTGGAGATAATTCCATATTAGTACATAAAGTATATCTTCATTAGAACTAATGGCGGCAGAGCGTTTCATTGTAAGGATTCCATTGTTTTCCACTGTTTAATTGGTCCCCTGTTGACAGATGTTTAGGTAGTTTTCAATCTTTTGATAGCTCAATGATGTGACAGTTCATTATAGCTTCATATAGGTGCACGTATTATTTGTAAGGTCAACTCCTGGAGGTGAAAATGTTAGGTAGAGGGCATGTGCATTGATAATTTCCACAGATATTAATAAATCGTCTCCCTATCAAGGCTTTATCAATTTGCACTCCCATTAGCAATATAGGAGAAAGCCTCTTTTCTCACACCTTTATTCACATAGTCCACCATCAAATGATTTTATCTGTGCCAAACTCATAGGTGAAAACTTGTATCTCAATATAGTATGTTAAAAGTTATTGACATGTAACATACATGCAGCACTGTGTACAAATCATGAGTATACAGCTCCATTCACTTTTCGCAAAGTGAATTCATCTGCATAATAGCACTCAGAATCAAGAAATAGCGTCTCACCAGCCCAGCCTCCTACGCATCAAGATAACCACCATCCTAACTTTTAACACCTTCAGGTGGTTTTTGAACTTTACGTAAATGGAATCATCCAGTGAGTCTTCTTCAACTCAACACATCAGTGTAGTCTTATTTTGCAATTAATCTTATTACAAGTTACAATGGACTATCACACTGTATGTTTTAAGAGTCATTTCTTAAATTTCCTTTTCTGTGAACTCTGGGTTCACATCCTTTGGCCATACGTCTATCCTGATGTTGGATTTATTCTCATTGGTTTATAGGAGATCTTTATATGTTAGGAAAGTAGCCCTTTGTCTGTAATATAAGTTACAAATATTTTTTCCCCCAGTTTATGATTTGCTTTTGGTGGGTTTTGCCCCATGGAATTTTTTTTTTATTCTTAGGTGATTGAATGTATTTAGTTTTTTGGGGTTTCTGAGGTTTGTGTCCTATTTAGAAATGCTTTTCCCATGCCAAGATTTTTTATATTACCCATAATTTGTCTAGCTTTTGTTTAAATTTAAATCTTCAAACCAATTGGTTGCTTTTCATTTCTAAATAAGTTGTAATTTGATTCTTTTTCTTAACCGAAGACTTATTTAGAAGGATAGTTTAATTATTTTTATAGGCAGATAATATTTTGGTTATTATTTTAAAATTATTAAACTTGAATAGTATTTCATCGTCCTCAGAGATTATGGGTTCTACGATATTTGAGTTTTAGAATTTGTCCAGTTTTCTTTTGTAGCATAAGGCAGGGTCTGTTTTTGAGACTGTTTCCTGTATGCTGTGTGTGTGCGTGCATAATTTTATTGGATTTTATGTGTATTAGTGTATATATATGTGTGTATATACAGACATATTTACATATACAATATACATTTATATATAATGAAGTTTAATTATGTTATCAAATTTTTTGTTTTTACGTAATATCTGGTAGGTACTGTCAAAACCTTCCACCACATGGATTTATTAATTTCGCCTTGGTTTTCTATGAATTTTTAGTCTGTGTATTTCAAAGCCATGCTCTTAAGTGCGTGAGGAATTGTGATTTTTATTTACATGAATTTTATGCACACATTAATACACATGAATTCTCATTGTTAAAATGCAAACAATAAGCAATAATGCTTACAACAGAACTATAAACGTTACATACATTCAGACAACAATGAGATGCCATTTCCCCACAAGATTGGGAGAATTTGTAAAGATCGGTAACATTCTGTGATGGCCAAGTGTGCGGGAAAGGTAGGCGCCTTCATTATTGTTGGTGTGAGTGTAACTAGGAAATGTTATTAGAGCATTGCCTGGCACGTGG